TCTCTCTCTCTCTCTCTCTCTCTCTCTCTCTCTCTCTCTCTCTCTCATATGCATGTATACATATAAACAGATATTGTGCGTTGCTTATGTCACATACACACATACGCACGCACGCATGCACAGACGCGCACGCACGCACACACACACACACACACACACATATTTACCCATACACACATGTAATCTTGCCATTCGTTACAGTCGACAGAAAGGAATTGAACTAGAAGGGACTATACAAAATTTGTTTTGTGCTCAGCTCGGTGAGCGTTCCTCTGTTTCATCGTCTCTAAAATTGCACTATGGAAATCAACGCCAACGGAGACGTAATTGTTAAGTGAGTCATTTGATAGAAGATGAAAAAACAATTTGGTCGATAAATTTCTGCTCAATTAACCGCTTCGGTTAATTGCCTATTTCACGAAAACAATTTTCCACGGGTCATTAATCTTAGCTGCAGTACAAGCTGTACAGAACTGCGTTTGTTGATCGCAAAGGAAAAAAGCGACATTAGAAAAAAAAATAGATCATATTTAAGCAATATTTAGAACAGGGTCCTTATTCTTAAAATAGTTGCGTATACATAAGTTTTACTGCGCAGGTTTAATCATACCATAAATAGCTTCGCAGTAAAACTTACGTATACGCAACTATTTCAAGAATAATTTCATATCCCAGATATGAAATTGACTAAAATTACGAAGTGATTGATTCTTTGTGTCCTTTTTCAAATAAAAGATAATGTATTCGCGAAAATGTTGTTCACTCGAAATAATATATTTCAATATTTCTGCAATTATCATCGTTAGAAAAGGAAAGAACACTAATATCATTGTCCCTTGCGCGTAAAATAAATTGTAGCTGTATGAAATATCGCAGCTTGTGTCGAAACGAAATGAAATTGATCTTTTTCTCTGAAAAGAAAAAATCAGATAATTTGAGACGAGACTATAACTTACAGCTCTAGATATATAGTGCACACTGAAATTCCTCTAAGTTTCTACTTTCAAGTGTAATCACAATACTTTACGAATCGATACGCCGTCAAAATCATCAAAATCAAAATCACAGGCGTAATCGTTAACCTTAGCGTCACGGCTGACGATAACAAAAATCTAATTGAGCCGCGAGAATTAAATTACAGTACATAAGTAAAATTTCATTCGCTCGCGAATTATATTTTCGTGTGTCGGCAATGATTTAATTAAACCATCAAATGAATTCCTTTATGTTAACCGAAATTCAATTTAACACAGCAAATTAAATTCTAACACGTTAACAAAACTTCAATAAAACTATTATACCTTTGCGTGTAGACGAACGTATATATTTGATCTAGTAACAAAATAAATATTTACGCGTAAGCAAAAAATTAATTAAATGAATTAAATTGAACCACGCACACGTGTTTCCAGTAACGTACTGACACGACGACGAAAAATCTACGACAAGATACAGAGCAAGCGACCTATATATTAAACTCTTGCGCGTCAGTAGAAATTCAATCGGGACGCGATCCAAATTTTTATATATGTCCATGAAAAATTCAGTTAAGCGGCGAACTAAATTTCCGTTAACGTCGTGGGCGACGTTCGGCACGAGTGTCTCTTTGCACAGAGAATGGGGCGGAGGAGGAGTAGGAGGGAAGAGTCGCGCGGCTGTACCTCACGACAGGCCTTGCGGCGTAAAGCAGATCTTCTCCAGCTCACCTGTCGACGAGCTGACGGGCGATTCAGCCCGGTCGTCCTGCTCGGCTGCTAATTGCTCACTATAGTAGTGCGGCGTGCTGAGATAATCAATGAGTCGACGCGGCAACGGCAGGGTCGGTATCAGGTCCCTGCGTACCATCTTCAGAATAACGAACCTGCACGTATGCTGCAGACTCTGAACTTGCTTGAATCGCGACACCGGATGGAGCAGTTGTACTCTCATTGGCCCTAACACTGGCCGCCGATGCAGAAAGAAGAGATAGCGACCGCTGCGCGAATGTTCGACCGCGTTCTCGATAAAGTCGACGATAGTATGCGATTTGAATTTCGTACAGCTGCCGAAGCTAAAATTACCTGCGCCAAAGCAGAGAATAAACAGTGCGTTTCTTATAATAGTGATCTTCAATATACCACACTTACCCTGATCATGCTCTATCCTTACATGTCGCACGCAACTGTTGAGTCTGAACGACAGAGAGAATATGTAGTGATCGTCGCTACTATCTCGTACAATAAATGAGCCATCCGGCTCATTGGATAGTATCTTCTCCGCTGCTTCGCCAGATATAGGTCCCCAATACCACCCATACTGTTTGAAAAAAGACAATATTTTAAAAACGTATTTTAAATTAACATATTTCTTCAGCAACCGAACTTTGAAGTCGACCAAGAGAATGCACGACGTTTTACGTACATCCTTCACTTTCTCGATGCTAGCAGCAAAATCCATACTCGTGTCCTCCGCGACGTCTTCCTCGGGTCGCGCAGCTGATAGCGGGACCTGCTGCACCGAGCTCGGTGACTCGCACTTGGGCACCATCACCGTGAGGGCTTCCTCTGCCTGTTCCACGTTTACTTGGCCATTACTGCTTTTGGGCAGGGGAGGCAGCGCGCGCTTGAAGAACGGCAGCTTCTGCGTGGATGGCTCAGTCTCGGACGTGGTGTTGTTGTTGTTAATCGTATGCTGGTCGGAATCAACACCTACTTCTTCCTCCTCGACGATCTCTCCCTGCACGATACTGTTGCGCTTCTCCACGAAATGATCCGGCGAGCCCAATCGGCGAAATCGGAAGATGTTGCATAGCGTCTGCTTGAGATTAAGCGAGAAGTTGCGTTGGCTCTTCTTGATTTTTTCCCGTTCGGACTCGCTCTTTTCTTTGTGCGACTCGTCGCGCGCCTTCTTATGCCTAATGCCGACAAATGTGTTCCTCTTATGTTTCTTCGCGTTGTTACCATTATTATTGTTGTGGTTATTGTTATTGTTGTTGTTATTGTTATGGTGATGGATCATTAGACCGTTACTGGTACTTTTATTGGATACCGGTGTGTCCGTGGACGAGTCTGTGTGCGCGTTACTGCTATACCTATTAATTAAACACTATTACGTATTATTGAATTAATGTTGCAGGGATCAGTTCGTAGAAACAATCAAGAATGACTAACGATTAAAAGTATCAGAATCAGACTGAGAAGAACAAACAGTCAATGTAGAAGCTTGTTATCTCTCGCGAAAAAATAAAATTCCTTTATCTTATCGATATATGAGAATCGTTACTCCCTACCTATTATTGTTATTTACACTGAGGGCCTTGGGTGTTGCAGCGAGATGCACCGACGTGTGGCCGAGCAACGGTGCCTTGTCTCGTTTTATCTTGTTTTCACTTGAATCGCTGGAGCTCGAATACAATGTCTGTAGGTACTGTCGCACCTCGTGCAGCGTCATGTGGATCGGTTCGCCGATGTTGTGTGCATGCCCATTTGATGTCCTGACACCGTGACGACCAGAAGTGCCAGGCACACTGTGCCGTTTACCGCCGCCGCCGCTACCACCGCCACCGCCGCCACCACCACCACCACTTCCGCCACCACCGCCAACTCCAACACCGATATTGCCATCATTGCAGCATACTTCGGCCAGCAAACGTTGTGATTTAATAACGTGTGTGATGGCCCGGGATTTGCCGCAATAGTGACGCGCCTGTTGAATGTGAGCTTCTAGTTCACTCTGTGAGCTCGCGGACACGTTCCGCCGTCTCTTGCGATGATGCCGGTGACGTTTGGGCCTCTGCGGCGTCCGCAGATCATGCAGCGGTCGTATCACGTCAATTGGTACCGTATAGATATCCGAATCGAATGGTACGTTGTACATATCACTGATCTCGCTAGTGGTGAGCACGTCATGTGACATCGCGGACGTGATAAAACTACTATCATCGGCCTTATGACCAAGTCCAGTGGTGTTAATCGAATTGTGCGAGCTAGATAGCCTAGAGGAAGCCAAAGAACAGCGCGAATTCGGCCGGTTCAGCGTGTTGTAAGGAGTAATAGTAATGGTGGCAGCACCCTGGCATACTGGGGGTGCCATCAGGTCCCACATACGCTTAGAATTAGACTGCTGTACTCGCGTTACTACTGGTACTGGGTTCGTAGCCGGCGCAATCCTTCCCTCTGGCCAGGAAATGCGACATGAGATCGCTAGCGCTTCCTCCACCACCAACTGCATCAAGCTCTCTGCGTAGTCGTCCATCCAGCGCGGCATTCGTCTCATCAATCGCGCATAACTTAAAATTGGCGCCGACGAAGACTCCGAGTCCGGCGGTGACGGGCTATCTTGAAACTCCGGCGGTGGTTTGATCGCTACGTCGACCACCTCGACTTCCAGTTTGCCATCCGCATCACTCCAGCCTGGACCCTTCTTCAAGGTATTAAAGTTTTCGCCGCACATGCCGTCTGAGTAGTCAAAGGAATCTTGCGATAAAGACTTGCTCTCTATATCGCTTTCCTGCATCTGAAAACGGCGTTACTTGACTTAAGAGGGAACACGACTTAAAGAAAAAAAGGATAGAAAAATTTAAGAATATTTTTTTTTAAATTATGTTTTTTTAACTGACAGTTTGATATATATTTTGCAGATGTTTTAATAAAAGAACTTATATTTCTGGTTATTAAAACTGTTTTACAACATAGGTTTCATGAAATAAGGCTTTTCTCGTAAATTATGGTAACACTGCTCAGATGATTATTTCTGAATTGTGTGTGTATATATACACACACACACACACACACACACATAATCTCTCTCTCTATACATACATACATACATACACAGATACATACATACATACACACATACATACATACATACATACATACATACATACATACATACATACATATACTTATACCAAGATGTACTCATATAGTGGGCCTTTCAAATTAAGAAAAGCTTCTTCAGCTACAATTCTGTATTATCTATAAGCTAATGTTACTTCACACGTCGCTTACTGCGCTTGAACATCAACTGTGCTGACCTGATACTCGTTCTTCCTATCTTTGTAATTAACACAGTTGAGCCCAAATTCTTTTTATGCCCAATGTTTTTATTATTTTAAGAAAGCAATTTATGTTTTCATTGAATATACAAATAGTTACATAATTTGCAATTTATAGAAACAATTCTACTTCAACAGATTTTGGGTGGTTTTAAAATAAGAGTTAAAACTTGTATATCAATTTTTAGTAAATAATCCCATAATATATCTTTTGTCTATATTAATTTTTAGTCTATAATTTATTGCAGTTTGTTTTTAATTGATTCAGAAAAATATTATTCTGATGGCTCTATGTAATCTGATAATGCTTCATCAATTTTCAACTAATTTTCAAACAATTTTAACACAATATTTTAATATAACATAATAATTAATATAAATAACATAACAACATAATAACATACAATTTTAATATAACAATATTTTCTAAATTATAATTCTTTCAAAAAATGTAATAAAAAAGAAAATCAATTTTTTAAAATTTCTACTGTGGTTCCCCCTTAACAAAAGTTATAAAAAAACAAACACACCTACAACATATACAATAATAATTGCCATTAATTAAAGAGAGAAATATACTACCTCTATCGCAAGATGTGCTCGTACAGAATCACTGGAAATTGAACCCCCCAGGCCACTGCTACCAAGATCACTGAGAGGTCCAGCGCTTAGCGAACATGATGGTGGGGAGTCCATCTCAGTTTTCCTTTCTTTCAACTGTGCACTGAAGAGTTTATAGAACCCAGAATTTTTGGTATTTCCACATCATCCCCTATAAATTTAATATGATTAACTTTAAAATTGTATTACATTTTTATTTACTAGATAAATTAAAGAAACAGACATCAAACCTGAAAAATAGAACCACAGGCAATATGTGACTGCCTCATGATCTTCATATTTATATATCCACTTGTACTTATTGTGTGGTCCATTATGAATAGGATAATATAGCAATATTCTAAAACAATCAATAATCCTAGAACAGAAATGTGATATCAAAATCTAAAGTTAAATAATCAACATGTAAAAAGTTGAGCTACAGTATTTGAGAACATCATGCAATCTTAGTTATGAGTCATAAAAAACAGTTCCTCAAAGGTATCTTGATGTTTATTATTACTAACATATTGAATCTGAGATTTGATATAATTGTAACTATGAAATTGTCTACATATGTGTGTGTAAGATTCCTACAAAATTTAGATCTTTCTATAAATAAATTAACGAAGATTATCTCTTAAGACGTCACTCGATAGTTAACCAAGTCTTTTGATCGAAGGACGACGTTCATCACGCGTTTAAAGCAGAATGCGATTACCTTGAAAGTTTGGTCAACGCGATGAAACGCACTAAGAGTTTAAAAGATTCAAATTTAATATGAAATGCACAATGACAGCTCGATCGAAGCACAACGGTTCATAGCAGCGCCCGGTGAGGAAACACATATTCGCGCGGCAGTTGAGAGAACGCAGACGAAACGTTGGTGACGTTTACGATGAAGTTGAACGCAGGAGAGGTCAACCGGATGACGTTGCTGCCACTTACCTCGCGTTAGATCTCACGCGATGCGATTTCGGCCCAAGATTCGTCGTCGTCGTCGTCGTCGTCGTTGTGACGCGGAGACACGCCGCTCATGATCGCCGCATGACGCGCGATCCGAGCCCGCGCCGGGACCAATCGATATCTGCGAGACAACGCGGAGCAACCTCACGTTTCACCTCGAACCATGTTCGGTTCGGTTCAATTCGCCGCGTTCCGCGAGTCACGCCTAGGCCGCGTTCCGTTTCAAGGCCGGTTTATGATGGCAGTAATCTGTTAACTTATGCCGGAACCATACAAAATTGACCAATCATTGTCGATTATTCTTCTATAATTCGACTATGATTGATCAATTTTTTACAGTTCCGGCATAAGTTAACGGATTACGGCTATCATAAACCGGCCTTTATACATATGCGCGCATTTATCTATAGTTCATGTTACGTATATTAGTTGCGTTTGGCATTGTAAATCAAAGACATCGGATTGCTCTTTTACCTCGAAAATGCACAGAAGTGAGAGAGATACGAGATCTTGTATCTTTTTTATTTCTATGCATCTTCGAGATGAAAGAGCAAATCGATTCTGATTTACAATGCCGAACGCAGCTATTATAGGCAGGCTGAGTCCCATGGCATGTATTTTCCGCGTACCGCGTAAACGCGTAACCAATAAATTGCGATGTTTAGTATTTCTGTTGGAACTTCTAAAAGAATAGAAAGATGTGATTGGTTACGCGGTTACGCGTTATGCCAAAATACGTGCCATGGGACTCCACCCGCAGGGTTGGGTACGCATTAGGGTGCTATTTCACGTGTCGTACGACAAGCTTTTCGGATACGTTTATTGGTTGGCGAATAGAGTATTTCTAGGTTCTCTGTTCGTCAACCAATGAACGTATCCAAAAAGCTTGTCGTATGACACGTGAAATATCAGCCTAATACCTCATGTTTTATGCGTGAAGTTTTATATGCAGATAACTCGAGTAATCTGCGCAGATAACTAAATAAGGTTTTCTGCTGCATAAAACTTCTTTTAGAGCTATTCTGCAATTGCGTAAGCGTGGTCGTAAATAGTTGTAAATGATTACGACAACCAATCAGAATAAAGAAATCAATGAATAAAACACTCTGATTGGTTGGTTTTATAACTGTTTTATATATAAGACAAAGCATAAATATTTGTCCATGATCATGAAAAACATGAAATTGTGAATCTAGTTCATCGCTCTATTCCATTTTTTAATTTCTTTATATCTATATGTATATACCACAGATGTCTATCAGGTATGTAAATATGAAACCGGAATTTTTGTATAGAAAATACACGTTTATTGTATGAAAATGATAAAAAATATTTTATTCAAAGTATTGCCCATCGCTAGCTATACATTTTTCCCACCTGTCTGACAATTTGTGGATGCCACGCCAAAAAAACTGTTGCTCTTTTGAGGTAAACCAGTCATCGAGCCATTTTCGTACATTTTCGTAAGAAGTGAAGCGCTGCTTAGCAAGTGCGTGTCCCATCGATGCAAATAAATAGTAATCGGACGGAGCCAAGTCTAGTGAGTAAGCCGCATGCGAAAGTATTTCCCAACTAAACGCCTCAATCGTTTCCTTGACCAGTTTTGCTGTGTGTGATGGTACATTATCATGAAGCAAAATCACTTTGTGTTGCCTTTTTTTATATTCTGGTCGTTTTTCACGCAAAGCTTGATTTAAATCGATCATTTGTTGTGGGTAGCGTTCAATATTAACGGTTTGGCTAAGTTTTAGCAGCTCATAATAGATCACATCCTTCTGATCCCACCAAACACAGAGCATTGTCTTCCGTCCATAGCGATTTAGCTTTGCAGTCGATGTCGATGGTTCGCCTGGAGTTACCCATGATCTTTTATGCTTAGGATTCTCAAAATATATCCACTTTTCATCGCCAGTCACAATTCGATGGAGAAATGACTTTCTTTTGTACCTGGCGAGCAGCATTTCGCAAGTGATTTTTCGGTTTTCCTGTTGCCTTTCATTCAGTTCATGTGGAACCCATTTTCCCATCTTTTGAATCTATTCCATGGCTTTCAAACGTATGGAGACGGCTTCTCGTGTCACATTTAATTGATCCGCGAGTTGTTGTTGCGTTTGAGTGTCATACTCATCCAACAATGCTTGTAATTCGCTGTCTTCAAACTTTTTCGGTGGTCTCCCACGTTCTTCGTTTCTCACGTCAAAATCGCCACTTTTGAATTTTTTAAACTACTCAAAGCATTGTGATTTACCAAGAGCATGCTCACCGTAAGCTTCGACAAGCATTCGATGCGATTCTGCAGCAGTTTTCTTCAAATGGTAACAGAAAATCAATGCTGTCCGCAAATCGTAGTTTCCAGGCACAAAATTCGACATGTTCAACGCTATTACAAACTATGCTGTTGTATGAAACTTGTATTGTTGTAAGTTGAAAATCTTTGTGAGAGATGTCAACAAGGAAATGGCGCCAATGACGCGGTTTGACGGTAACTACATTGACAGCTAGAGCCATCTATGGGCAAATTCCGGTTTTATATTTACAGACCTGGTATATATAGGGTGTACAAAAATTAGACCGACAAACTTTGAGGGGAAATAGAATACATAATAACAAACATATTTTGTTAATAATGTTTTTCTCTACGACGCTTTGTTTTAATACTATAGGATACAAAATATGAATTTTATGATTTTAATAAAAAACAAACATATAAGTAGAAAAATTAAATTTACTTCAATTATACATATATATTTTAATCTTCAAAAAACAATGAACAAAAGAACGCAAATGATGTAACAAAAATGCGCAATTGATTAGCTCAATTTATAATAAATGTTAAAAAATTTCTCCATTTGCTTCAACACAAAGATGACATCGTCGAAACGTTGATTGTCTCACACGCTCGAAGACTAAGAGTTTTCATATGCCCCCATAAAAAAAAGTTACTCTCATTTCTTCATTTCAAATTTTCTCTCATTTATGAGACACCTATTGAAACAGAAGCAGAATTGGTAGCCCGAATTACTGCTGCAGCATATCAGGTTCAGAATTCCTGCAGTCTTCGAGGGTGTGAGACAATCAATGTTTCGACGATGTCATCTTTGTGTTGAAGAAAATAGAGGAATTTTGTAACATTTATTATAAATTGAGCTAATCAATTGCGCATTTTTGTTGCATCATTTGCGTTCTTTTGTTCACTGTTTTTTAAAGATTAAAATATATATGTATAATTAAAATAAATTTAATTTTTCCACTTATTTTTGTTAAAAATTTGTTTGTTTTTTGTTAAAATTATAAAATTCCTATTTTGTACCCTGTAGTATTAAACCGAAGAGAAAAACATTATTAATAAAATATGTTTGTTTTCATGTCCTCTCCCTTACGGAAAAATATTAATAAAAAAACTATTAAAAATAGTATAGGAAAACTGTTAAAATATTATTGAAAAACTATTGAAAAGTATTGAAAAACTATTGCGTAATTATTATAGCATTATTAAGAAACTTATTCACTAATTTTACAACCAGTTTTGATATAATTTTTCAATAGTTGAAACAGTAGTATTTTCATCAATCAGTAGTTTTCCAATAGTTTCCTTATAATATTTTTTTGTAAGGGCTATTTCCCCTCAAAGTTTAGTCTAATTTTTTACACTCTGTATACTAGATCGCTACCCAGTAAACATGCATGTCTAAAAGATGTCGAAACGATATCTAAAAGACGTCTTATGCAACAAAATGTTGCATAAGATATCTTTTAGATATCTTTTCGACATCTTTTAGACATGCATGTTTACTGGCTAAGGTTGCGTTCGGAAACACACTGTGTGCACCCTACTATACGATAGCCGTTGGAGTGAGCGAAATACAAGAGTGAGATAAAAAGAGAGAGAGAGAGTACTCGAGTGAAGTTTCCAAACGCAGTATAAAGCTAGCCATACACACTTTTCGTAACAGTAACCATAAGATGTAACGTAAGAATTGACCAATTACGATCGAGTATTCATAAAAATGGCGACCTTATGATTCGACGATTCTCAACATGATTGGTCAATTCTTATGTTACTCTTACGGTTACTGTTACGGAAAGTGTGTGTGGCTAACTTCCCTTATAGAAATATCATACTAAGAATCATTGGGCGCATTCAGTAGAAAAAGCGCTCAGTGAGCAATCAACGATTATTGGTTCTTGCTATTAGATCCCTAAATCTAGACCAATTACATTGATAAATTACTCAACTGTTGTGCAACTGTTGAGTCTACTGAATGCAGCCATTGATAATTACTTATTTTCAGTATTAAAAATACTGGATAATAAGTAATTATCAATGATTCTTAGTATGATATTTCTATAAGGGTTAAAGGTCATTACACACAAAATTACATAGGGTGCTTTCCAGTTACGTTTTGTATATTACACAAAACCAGTTTATTGGTTGTATATTATCTTACAAGATATTTTAAATAATATGCGACCAATAAACTGGTTTTGTGTACGTATGTGTCAAGGGTTGCGTTCCGTTTCACACATTATGCGCGCATTGCCTACAATATACGTAACACGAACTATAGATAAATGCGCGCATATGCGTGAAACGGAACGCGGCCAAGATGTGTTAAGCAATTGGAAAGCACCCATAGACGCATATGCATAGCATAAGATCATTTGTATGTACTCGACCGGAAAAAAAACCCCGGTTGGAAAACTATTCTTTTAAATCGTTTGTATTTCGTATGAAGAGTTTTGAAGTGCAATTGAAAAAATTTGTGAGTCATTCTATTATTTGTAATGAATTGTTCTTTTTTGGACCATGTATTTAGCCGGAAATAATGACCGGAGGTAAATTAAACAAAAGTTCGGTATGGTATCGTTTGTATTTCGTATGAAGAGTTATGAAGTATCATTAAAAAGATTTGTGAGTCATCCAGATAATTTTAATTAAATATTAAAAAATCATATATTTGGCCGAAATATCGACCTCAAGCGCTGCTGTGGAAGTACCGTCAGGCATCATCGGTGTACTATCTAGTATTTCAATACTAAAACTCATGGTTCATTTTCGGGTAATTATGTATAATAAGACCTTTTACGAATTTTGATATTTTTTGCAGTTCTTTTGGTAAAAATATTTATTTTGACTCCAACATTGATAATCAATTGGGGGAGTCCAAAAAATATGCAAGTTATATATTGTTTTAACTTTTTTTTAATTTTTTTCACTTGTCAAATGTTGCTGCGCTCCCCGCACCCCCCCTCGAAACTAACCTAACCTATCGTCACATTAACCGTCAGTCATTGTTTATTAACCCTTTGGGGACGAGTGTCGGCATATAGCCGCCCAAGCCGTTTTACCGTTCCGGACGCGTGTCGGCATATAGCCGCCCAAATTAGTTCGTAGCTGCAAGGCTCGCGACGTCTGTCGTTCTGAGCGATAAGATACGCATAGGTATAGTAAAAGAGTCACGTTTTCATTCAAAGACATTAGGGGCCATTAGCGATGAAGTCTTATCTTCCTTATAGCCCGTCGAGCGGCTCCGTCCCCAAAGGGTTAAA